GGGCGATGAGGAGGGGGCCAGTGCCGAGGGGGGGAGGGGGGGAGCGGGTGAGTCGGGTCACCATCCAGGGTGGGATGCGGACAGCGTGGGTTTGGCGGGTGACGGTGCGGCTGCACAGGCTGAACCCCGCGAGGGAGCCTGCTGCGTGGGGGCGGCATGACATTGATCATCTGGCGCAGGACAATGCAGGGTGGCGCGAGGGCTCGAGCGTGTGCGCCGCTGCGCCCCGCACTTGTATGTCGGGTCATCCTCCAGGGCGGCCGTGGTGCGCTGCTGCCCCGCATCAGACGGCACCTCCAGCGCCGCGTTGACACGCTGCACGCGCGCGCATATGAGGGTGTGAGTGCGCGCGTGCATGTGTAAAGGGAGGGAGGGGGGTTGATTACTGGTAGTGGAGCTGGGCTGAACACAACACACGCGAGACTCTGGGGCGCGCCACCTGCACGCCGGCCCCGCACCAGCACGTTGCGCTTGCATCTGAGGCGCAACAATGGCCTTACCCCCAGGCGCCCCGCGTCAAGCTGAAGCCGCCCTCACCCAAGGGTTTTCCCCAGCGCCCAGTATTCGCCGCACCACTGCGACCCTGCTCTGCTGCAACCCCCCCCCCCCCCACCACACACACACTCACTGCCTCACCCCCATGACATCAGCGTACTGAGCGCTGGAGGACAGCTTCGCCACTGCTGCCAAGTCATCATAGTTCAGTGACTCGATGTCGTCCAGCTGGGGGAGGACCAGGCAGCGGTGCGCCGAGTTAGGCGGGCAGCAGGAGCAGGGCATCTCTGAGCATGTTGATTGTCATCATTTATTGGCACGGGCTCGCTGTATACACGACAGAATGTCGGCAGCTTGCTGATGACGTGTTGATTTCTGATGTGGACACAGGCGACAAGTGCGAGCGGGCTAGCGCTGCTGCCGCAGCGTCCTCAGCTGCGCGCCGCTGCTGCAACGCACTGCGTCCTCGCCAGCGTCCTCCTCCATGGCCTCGCCTTCGCCACCCTCAGCTGCCGCGGGCTCGTCATCGGACAAGTCCTCTAAGTCTGCCAAGAAGCTTTCTGCTAGTGTGGCCATGGTGTTCTGCGAACGATCTCGAGTTTCAATACAGCTGATATCGTATGTGGTGGCAAGGCGAAAGAAATGTTATCGTCGTTACCAATCATTTGTGTTCGGGGCTGTCAGCTGGGGGCGCTTGAAGTGCGGCCATATGTGACCAGTCAGCCGGCGACTGCGGCCACCATGGCATCCGCTCTGCAGTGTCAGCTCCTTCTCCCAAGTCGATCACATGACGTGTCTCAAAGCTACACTTCACTGTTGTGGTTTCATCGTGTGAGGCGTCTTTCGGTGGGTGGCTGAGTTTGGATGTGAGAGGCAGCAGCTGGGGGTTGGAGGGGGTTCGAGGGACTGGCAGGGGTCTTATATGCTTTCGTGTGGCATAATGGCGGGATGCACGGGGATCCATGGTAGATAAGGCTGCCTGTGTGCTGCCTGACGGCGGGGCACCGGCCAGAGCTGTAATTGCCCCGGGTGACCGTCACAGCTGCGGTCGGGGGTCGGTGGTCATGGGTGTAGGGTTGTGTTGGTGGCCTTCTGATCAAACAGGAGGAGTATGCAGCGACTTGAGCAGACCAACAGCTGCTCCTTGTAAAGGTGCAATACTCAGCTTACACTGCCACTGCCTCTGTGCGGATGCTGCGGCTGCGTGTGCAGCTGTTTAGCTCCAGAATTTGGTTGCTTCTGGGGAGCAATAGTATGTGCTGGCACAAGGAAGGAGCGTTGCGTACGGGCAGGCATCGTCCTCGCCTGCAAGGCAGGGCCACGTGACGGCATCGCGCACTGCCGCACTTGAGAGCTCGTACACACCACCCTTTGACATGGGCAGCTACATTGTCGTCAGCATGCAGCACCCCTGTCATGCCCAGCAGGACATCCTTGGTTTACACAAACACAACACCTTGTTTGCCACGCCACTCCAAAGCCGGCCCCACCTGCCATGCGCGACACATACAAGCTGGCAAAATTACAGCAAAGGGTTCCCCCAGTCCCATATGGACACAAGCAGTGTCGCCACTCCACTCAAATGAAAACTGTTGGTATATTCAGTACTCAGGATTGGGGTGCGTGGGTGCGTCATACACAACCCCAACAAAAAAACCGCCCTGTCAGGAGCAGAATGACTCCTTGCGGCAGGCAGGCCGAGATCGCATCGCGCCAGTAACATCAGATCATGTCAGGCGTCAAGCAAAGCGCTACTACCCCGCCGCCCCGAAGCGAGACCCTTATCGCCCTCTGAGCCGGCCCAAAAACCGCCCAAGAGACAGGATAGGGATGGATACGTTGTGAGTGTGCCGTTGGCCCATGCCACAGCCCACAATGGCCGGGTATCAAGGGCAGGCGCACGGCGCACCGCAAAACTCCACGTCCCGCCTCAGCCCCCCCGGTCAGTGGGGCGGGCAGCCGCTGGGCCGCCCGCCAGGCCACGCTCACGGGGCCCCGTCGGCGGGTTCCAACTCCCGGCGGCGCCGCCTACTTGGCCCGGTAGGCCTCGGGCATGGAGGAGCCCGCGGAGCCCGCCAGCTCGGCGCCGCTCATGTAGGCCTCGGCCAGCTGCACGCGCTTCACGTTGTCCTGCTCCTCCACCAGGTAGCGGCCGTACTTCATGAGCACGTCCAGGGACATCCGCGGCTTCTCAAACTCGACCTTGCCCTCGCGGCTGTTGACCAGGCGCTTGGAGAGGTTCTCCACGCCGAGGTTGGCCACAAAGTCGCGGACCTTGTCGTCGTACACGCGCGCGCGCAGGGCGCCGAAAAAGTCGATCGACTGGCCGGGGAAGGCGTCGACCAGCCTCTCCACCTCTGCACGCGTCACGTTGTCCTCGTGGAAGATGCCCATGCACACCCCCACGCGGTCCTCGCGGGTCGGGTTCCAGTAGTACTTCTCCTGCGGGGCCGCAGAGTTGGGGGTGCGGGGTGGGGAAGGGCAGAGGGTCCATCAGGACGTGAGCACAAGGAACTCAGAGCGCGGGGAGTGCTGTGATGCAAGGGGTCGCCGCAGCACGCAACCACGACCAGGTGCTTCAGTCTCTGCGTCCGGCCTGCATGCTATGGGATGCACAGCGCAGTGTGGTTCGCGGCCCGCTGTCGCTTTGTGCTGCAACATCGGCCAGCCCTAGTACGTGAGGTCCAAGGAGAGGCTCTGGCCCAAGCCCGGCTGCGCACCATGCGGCCGTCGCGGATGAGGGGCGCGTAGAGGGTGCTGAAGTCGTTACCTGGGGTTGAACGAGCAGGTGGTCGGGGGCGGTTGGAGGAGGGCTCGCGCGCGACATAAGTAGTTGTGGCGCATGGGGATGCGCAGGCAAACAAGCCACGGGCGTTACTAGTGCCAGCAGTGGGGACCACACAGTGGGCGGGTACACCCTCATTCAGGCAGCCGCTACGGTTCTTGCTTCAGAAGCATCTAAACCAAACTTGCTGGGCTTGCGTGGCGCCCACCACAGGCCCTTCCCCTGCCCCTGGCGCTGCCTCCTGCCTCCCCAACG